CTAGCAAATCTGTTCCCACTTAGTTTTCAACTCTCTGGCTACCTACCTATGCCTGGGCTGGCTAGTTAATTGACGTGTTTTCCTCGCCTGGGGCCTAGGCCTACCGACGGCTCTGGCTTGTTTTTTTTTTTGTGTTTTTCTAAAAGACAAAATTAAACGTAATGTATATAAAATAATAAAATTACCTTCCATAGTTTCATAAAATTGTTACGATCAGATTAAAAGTTTTTTTTCTAAAAGTATCAGCAGAAGTTGAATTCAGAAACGGACGTCACGTAGCCTACATCATCCAACGAAAAACAGGAGCAAAATGGCAATCGGTCAACGGTTGCACGCGTTCTCGTACATAAATTGTCACGTGACGCTTGTTGACGAATCAGTAAATTTTATTCGTGGCTAAGACTCATTATAAATGCATGGATGATAACGGTGACCACGTAGATTTATACAGATTAATGTGTTAAAGTTAAAGAAAACAATTAACCTGAATAATTGGTTCAAATTTGATAGATTACCTATGTTAATTGTTTGAGCGTAGCATTGGGTACGTTTGGTCTTTATAAAATAAGTAAATTAAATTGCTGGAATAAAGTGGTCATTTTTGGTTGCGAGGTAACGTTCTGTGAACGCTGTGATTTAATTGTGATAAACGTGTTTGTAAGTATTTTGCTTACGTTATGACAACGTTTATAACCTTTTGTACAAGGAAACTGCAATTAAAACGCAATACGGCGACGTTTTTAAAACGACTTATAAAAACGAAAACAATTTCTCTGACAATTAGTGAAAATTTGGTTTCGATATAACGTTTTGTGAACGTTGTGATTTCTTTCTAATTATACATTTGTTGAGGAGTCTTTGCGTACGTTATTATAACGTTTATATATCGTTATGGTGCATTGAATCTGCAAACAAAAGGCTATAATACACAGCGACGTTTTAACATTGTTATTAAAACGTTTTATAAAAACGATAACATTTTTTTATGAAAATTGGTGAAAATTGGGTTGTGATATAACGTTCTGTAAACGTTGTGATTTCGTTCTATTTTATACACTTGTTTGTAAGTCTTTTTGCGTACGATTTTTCAACGTTTTTTTAACGTTTTGGTGCAAACAATTTGCAATCAAAAGGAAATGTTTACACATCGACGTTTTAAAATCCTTTTTAAAACGTTTTATAAAAACGATAACAATTTTTGTGAAAATTGGTGAAAATATGGTTGTGATATAACGTTCTAAGAAGGTTGTGAATTCGTTCTATTTTACACACTATTTTGTAAGTTTTTTGCATACGTTTTTGTAACGTTTTTTTTTAACGATTTTGTGCAAAAGTATCCTATCAGAAATCATACTTATCGTTTTAAAAACGTTTTGAAAACGTTCCACAAAAACGAAACCCAAACTAAAACCAATTCAAAACGTTTTTTAAACGTTTTGTGTTAGCTGGGTAAGAACACGTGCCAGGTGAGTAAACATTTTTACATGCCAGTCAGGTCGTCTTCGACGTTTGTCTTCAGAGTCACGCCCTTCTGTCCGTCGACGTAATCGCAAACGCTCTTGGCGGACACATCGCACAATTCCATCCAGGTTCGGAAGGCGGTCTCGTGTCTTGTCGTCGACGCGTCCCTCACCACCGAGGTCGGATCGACCACCAAACGGAAGAACGAGGCCAACGCGGCCCGTCTTTAATCGCGCCTGTCAGGATTGACCAACATCGACTCCAGCAGATTTCGGGACCACCTTCCGAGGTCCCTGTGGTCGAACGTCTTTCGTTCCTCGTACGCCAGCTGCCGTCTGCGCTTTCCAAACGAGACGAGTTTCGCGACGTGCGCTATGCAACCGAGACTAACGGTCTTTGGAAGGGATGCGTATCGGACGCACGCTTCGACGTACCTTATCTCCTTTTCGATCTCCACCCTCAGCTTGTCGGCAGCCGATCTCGCACGCCTGTCGACGTGCCTCGCGATATCGAACTCGTCCTTCTCAGCGACTTCCGGTCTCGTCGACTGGCGAGAGTCAAGACGCTGGAATACTGGAGGCCCACCGCGGCAGATATCCTCCTCGTCCTTCGCGATCGTCATGACGAGATGGTGACACTCCTCGTCCGTCAGCTCCTTCCTGCAGAAGAAACACCGGTAATCGACGTTCGGACAACAACCGACGGGCAACGCCGGTACGGTGCAAACGACGACCTGGAACCTCCAGAGTGCCGACAGGCTCCTCGATATCACCGTCGAATGCTCGCTCGTCCAAGGGAACAGCACGTGTCCTGCGAGCACGGTGTCGAAGTCGTTCATGGTGTAGCACTCCGTTGAGACCCTTCGCGTCTGGAATCGTTCAGTAATCGGCGCAATTTGCTTACCTCGACACTTCGGCCGTAATTTACTGTTTCTATTTGGTTCGTCAGAAAGGATATCTGCCTCATTAATTCTTTGTTCAATTGCGCACAATCGGCCGCCTTCATCTTTTCATTTTCTAACGAACGTTCAACTTCATCGAGGCGTCGTGTGAGAAAGTCTCGACCTTCCTCGTGCAATCTTCCGTCTTCCGAGTTCTCGAAGAATTGAGTCACTTCGGAATACGCCTCCGCCACTTTGTTATTGGCAAAGTTGAGCTGTCTTTTGATCTCGTCCATCTCCATCTTTGTTTTCGTCAAGTCTGATCTCAATTCATCCGCTTCCCTGTTCTTCGAAAACACCGATTCTTCGAGGTGGACAACCTTTTTCATCGATTCGTCGTACACATTCGACAGACGTTTTTCCGATTCCGATAGCCTCTTTTCCATTTCGGTGTTATCTTTCACCAATCTATCGCGCGCGTCGATGACCGTTTTGACTTCGTTACTTAGTTCCGAAATCATTTTCGTAGAATTCACCCGACTTCTCCCTCTTTTCGTCGCTCAGAAGTCGTTCGAGTTGTCGGATCTCCTGTCGGTGTTTTTCCAGCTCCCGCTTCAACGAATCCGTTTCTTTCGAATCCATTACATTCTTGTCGACGTTCGAAAGTTGGGACTCAAGATTTGCACGTTCTCTCTCGGAGTTCTTCAGCAGCTCGCGAATTTGTCGATATCTGCCGAATGTCGTTCAGCCGTCGCTTGCCACGACCTCTTCTTGGCTCGCCACCTTTCAAGGTCCTTCTTTGACCAACGTTCGGAATCTGTCGCGAGCTTCAGTTTCTCTGAAAGGAACGCGCACTCGTCAAGAGCCTCTTCCGCTTCGGCCGATCGCGAAATCTTATCGGATTCCAGTTAAGCTATCCGATCGAGATGCTTCTCTTCCCGTTCCTTTAGGTACGTCTGCAACTTACCGCCGTCTCTTCTCAGTTTCGATTCCTTTTCGGCCAGGAAAGATATCTGCGCTCGAATATTTTCAATCTCGTCCGAGTGGTTCGCCTTCGTCGTTGCCAGTTTCGTTTCCGCGTCCGATTTCTCTCTCTCAAGATCGTCTTGAAGCGATCCGAGTTCCTTGGCGTGGGATTCGTGAGTTTCGTCGCGTGCATCTGCGGGATCTCCTTCTCGATTTTTTCATGGTTCTCCTTCAGCCTGAACGGTGGTTTCATTAATAGAGAACTGCGATATTATGTATGTTTTCAACGCGATGTTTCTTATTCACGCTGTCGAAAGCCTCTCTTCTGTTTTTCGAGCCGCGCTTGATAGAAATGTATAGCAAGTGCGAGCGAGCGAGGGAATGTGTGGGCTGTGATAATATTCATGTAGTAAATCAAATATACACGTCATAATATTTGTTATTACTGCAAGTGATCAAAGTTACAGATATTTATATAAATTTTGTACCGGCTATCGAAATCAGAGTGATAGTTTTGTTTTTATCGAAAGTAATACAGCTTTTCGACGATCGCTAACGAGAGCACTGTAAACAAATAGCGCCCTCACTATTTAGGAACAAGAAGCGCTACTCAGCATCGAACTTATCGTCTGATTGTGCGAGATCCTAGTCACTTCATTAAAAACCATCACTTCGCACTTCTAGAGCAACTTTCATTTTACTATATACCCAAATTTCGTTTTGACGTAAAAGCTGCGTATATTTATTTATAATTATTTTACAAAGAGAAATTTCATCGACGATTTCGCCGACATCTAGGCTTAGGCTCGAGTTACACTGTATAAGTATAGGCCTTTTCAATATACAGTGTTCACACACTAACTAATGGTGGTGTCGTTTATTTTTTTTTTGTCGTATATTCTGTATCTCTATTGAAATTATCTGCTGTGTTAGTGTATTGTGGTGTATTATATGTTTTTTTTCTATAACTTTTAATAATTATGGACATCTACAAGCAATCATTATTAAATATTTGCCGAATATAATAATAATAATAATAATAATAATAATAATAATAATAATAGAGTAGTTTTATATAGCGCACATATCCATCTAATGTAAGATGGTCAGGGCGCTTGAAATGTGGACTAGGAACTCGACCAATGACTTTCTTCGCCCCTAAGGGTCCCGTCACTTCATACTTCTAGAGCAACTTTCATTTTACTATATACCAAAATTTTGTTTTGACGTAAAAGCTGCGTATATTTATTTATAATTACTTTACAAAGAGAAATTTTCATCAACGATTTCGCCGACATCTAGGCCTAGGCTCGAGTTACACTGTATAAAGTATAGGCCTGGGCAATATACAGTGTTAACACACTAACTAATGGTGGTGTCGTTTATTTTGTTGTCGTTTAATAATTATGGACAATCACAAGCAATCATTATTAAATATTTGCTGAATATGTGGCACAAAATTTAAAACTAGGAAGTACTCATTATCAACTATAAAACCAGAAATTCTAAATCATCTTGGTATTGATCTCTCACTGGAAGACAGCATCATTCACCCTCTATACATCTGTACCACATGTCAAACAGCTTCATACAAACATACCGCTCTGAGACCATACGTATGGAGATAACATCAAGAAGTTTCATGTCTTTCATATTATTTATTCAAAAAACAACAAAAAACAGGTTACAGAATCAAACCCAGCATTTGTTCTAAGCATTTAGAGCACAATGCATTGAATCAAAAATTTACAGTCAAAGATCAATCATTGTTATCACAATTTGAATGTGCCATTTGTCTGCGTATTATGTCAGTTGAAAATTTAGAAACTAAGTGTTCGCATCATTTTTGTTTGTACTGTCTATCAAAACTGTTTGGCACACTTCGAGTCCGTCAATGCACTTGTTTTGTCTGCATGTGTCCTGTGAATGTATCTGATGTGAAACACCATTCATGATTGTTCAGAACTCATTGAAATCTGGGCAACTGTTATGCAAATCATGCGGTGAAATCCTAAAATATGATGACTACTATCAACATAAGTGCTCTACACCAGCTGAACAACAATACAGAAGAATATCCAGTGCAGTCACCACAATTGTTGAAGTTCAACAGTTGTCTAATAAAGTGGTGTATCGATCTCTTAAGGAGTGCAAGGAGGTTGAAATCCAAACTAGAGGAAGGGTAAGGGTTTAATTATTTTATACTAAACAAATTTAATTTAACATTCTTTAACATAATAACAGTATTAGAAAATGTTTTATTAATTGCATTTGTACTGTAGTAGCACTTTATCACTGTATTTAAATTGTGTGATTACAATATTTTAGCCAGTGAAGATTGCTGTAATCACAAAAGCAGCAAAATACAGCAGCAATGTGTGCAAAAGGAGTCTTTAACGACCTACACAGGAAATGTCATCTTTACGCGAGGTGATATCACATAGGGATAGCAACAATCAATTAGCACACGAAATCTCTGCATTTGCAACTCCATCCCTAGTTGATATTGACAGTTCACTGGCTATCAAGGCTGACTGTGAGCTTGTTTGGCAGCAACTCCGCAAATTAAGAAGGTAAAAATGCTATTAGTTAATAATAACATATTACTAGAATTTGGTTTCAAAACCAAAAGTTACAAATTTAATTCATGTTATTAAAGGTATCTACAACCAGGAACAATAGCTTCAGAGCGAAGGATGCGGAGTAGGCAATTCGAAATAGCTGATGAGTACCTGCAAGGTAAATTGGAAGACCTGGTTGTCAAGAGTGAGGCTGCAACTGCAGAAGGGGGATATAAAGTCATAAAGGCCCCCGTGGTGAGAGTAGTTGAAATTCGGAAGCTGTTCTTTTCATACCTCGACAAACACCATGCGTAAATATATATTTCATTCACTTAAACTGAACATGTTTATATTTATTTCCATTCTGCATAAATCAATATTGATAGGGAAAAAATATGTTTTTATCAAAGCAAAAATTTTGTATGATTTAATTACACAAAAAAATTAAAAGATGGATTGTCCATGCAATATGTGAAATTTGGATAAAAATATATGAGTAAAAATTATTTTAACCACTATTACTTTTCAGTAACAACAATATCCACCTTCATAATAATGAAGTTTGGATAAAGGCTGGCGGTGATAAGGGGGGGGGGGGAAGCGGTAGCACAAAATTTGAAATCCAAATTTGTAGTTTGAGCAAGCCAAACGCCCTTCACCATATCAGCGTCGCGTGCTGATGATGTGTGACGGTCCTGACTATACTATTAACATTGCAAGGACCTTTCCTGATGTCTTCGATGATATCAGAATGTTAGATGGTGATACCTGGAGGTAAGAATGGTTTTTAGATTAAAAATCATATACTTACATATCACACATTCTCCTGGATGTCCTTACACTTTTCCTCTATCTTGCAGCACTTCTGTTTCTCGATGCCTTGAATTTCTTTAGCCTTTTCAATTCTATCTTTATCTTCCTAAAAAAATGTAGGCAATTTAATATGAAAAACAAATGTTCTATTTAAAGGGGTCATCGCATTAGACTATTTTTTTTTTCGGCGATTACGAGTTCCTTACGAGGATGTACGGGCTCAATGGACCAAATGGTAAGGGTCATAACGCAACGTTTGTATGTTATGGATATGATTTATAATAATAATATTAATAATAATAATAATAATAATAATAATAATAATAATAATTATAATAATAATGATAATAAATAATAATATTTTAGCATTTATGCTTATTCATTATATTTAGTATAAACACCATATTATTCTGTACATAAAGTGTACTCAAATACAAACTCATTGAAAAATAATTGTTTATTTTAGGACGGTATTGCTGTCTGTTTTGTAATCTCACCAAAGATGAGATAGACAGAGGTGATCCATCAAGAGAATTCAGGACATTACAGACACTTGCTGGGGATTTTAAATGTTTTCAACAAGGTGGTATGACAGATTCGAGTGTTGTAAGAGAAACCATGGTAGATGTTGAAATCAACCAAGTAAGTAATGTCCTCATAAATAATTAGGTATCAGAAGCATTACATGTTTTTTTTATCACTGAAGTATACTGAATTTACCTTTTCATAGGTGTCAGTTCCAAGCCTACACATCTCACTGGGTGTATTTAAGAAGCTTTATGAAATATCAAACCTCGAAGATGAAATACCGCTGGTATTTATTAACAAAAACGTTACTAAATCCATGGCAGTGTGCAATGCAGTGAGGAACATAGCTGTTAAACAACAAGAAATTAAAGATCTGGTTAGTATGAAGTACAATATTAATAAAAATCGACACATTTTATTGAGTACATTAGAGAAACATACTGTAAAACACTACAATGTATTGTATTGTTTTAACCAATATTAAATGAACATTAACTTAAATTTGTACACTGCATATTTAAGGAAATGAAGCTTGATAAACAACTTAAATTTGGCTCAGGACCCATAGTCTGTGCATTGGATGATGTGTTGCAGGTCAGAAAGGTAGAATGCCCGGCATATCATGGCAAGGCATTTGTGGGCAATCATGTTCACAAGTATTGCGAGGTAACTGACATTGTGTAATTTAGTGTTGCAATTATATTTGGAATGTGAACTTCAAAAATTATTTCTGCTTTGTTGCACACACAATTATTTTATGTTTGATTAATTAAAAATTATATAAAGATAGGCATAGCATTTGTATATATGTAATTTTCAGATAAATATTGTAAGCGAATTAATGGACGCAGCCAACAGTGTAATATCAGAACAGATAATAGAAGTTCCTCTTGGACATGTAGCTAAACTAGAGGGAAAACTTGAGAAAGCCAAGGCAAAATTTATACCTCTGTTCAGTGAATTTGCGAGTATTCACTAATCAATTAACCATACGAAGCCTATAAGTGATATTGAAATCAATGTTGTTGGTAAAAAATTATTATCATACCTTATTCATTATTTACTGTATGTATTTACCATTACCCACTCTCCCCCACCATATTAGTTTAAATTATTCAAATGTATTTTACAGATCCAAAAATTTATGACAACGTACCGCAAGAATGAGCACAACATATCGCCAAAACTCCATATGTTGGAAAACCAAGTTGTACCCTTTCTGAGAATGTGGAAAGTTGGGATTGGTCTCTTAAATGAGCAAGGAGGTGAACTCATCCATGCTTCCCCCAACAAGTAAAATCAGCCTTTGCAAAAACATTCTCAATTATGAAGAGCCATTTGACACTGACTGAACCAGATATCCAAGGAAAAATGATGCATGCTAAAAAAAGGAAATATGGTATGTTAATACATGAAATGATCACAATTTGATACAAATCCTAGATTATAATCACACATTATTGGGCACGGTTTTTTTTGCTTTCTTTTTTACACAGATGTTGAAGAATAACCAGTAACCAAGCTACAGTACAGTAACAATTTATGAAGACGTCATGAATTGATGAAAGTGATAAAATAGCCTTTTAAAATTTTAAAAAAGTTGGTTAGCATTCTTATGTTATCAATTTTTATGGTAGGGAGAGATGTGTTTTTGTCTTTTCTCGCGTCGAACATAAAAAACCCCGTCGCAAATAAAATTGCATACAAGAAATTATGTAATTAATCTATAGCATGCAGAAACTTTGCCTATGAATAACGTCATAATACATTTATCTCCATATAAAATCACGCATATGGACGGGTGGTAAACATACCTATATCAAATGGAGTTTGAGTGTTTTGTAAATAAATAAAAAAACAAATCGGGTCGGTGGCCTCTCTGATGGTAGGGAGGGGATGATACCAATGATTTTATTTTACATGGCCTTATTAATTAAAAAGAGTGCAGATAACTTTGTAATTTGAATTATAAATAATCAATTGTGTATTAAAATTGTAATTAGTCTGCCATGATGATTCCTTTTCTATTAATTTTGAAATTATTGTGAACCATAATAATAACATCACTTACCTGGACATTTTGATCACAATCAGCAATCTTTTCAACTGCGTTGTTTTTGCGGGGGGAGTGATAATCTAACCATTTTTCTATCTGCCCTTACTAGCCGATTCCATGTGGATTGCCGTCCGTGATATGATGGTTTACTACATGCCATATATTTTCATGTATCTGAAACAATTAAAATGAATTAAAATGAGTTGTAATTACGGTATGAAAAAAATATACAAATAGTAACTTAATTTGTTTTGTATTGGTGTAATATTGTCCTACCTCACGTGGAAATGTACCGAATACTCAGTACATTTGAAAACAACTGAGAAAAAATCGCAAGTTGTTCTCGGGTGGGACTGGAACCCACGATCATACCTCTTGACCACCGAGCTTGCGCCTGATGGCCAAGGTTGAATTCGAGTCCAAGTAAGCAGCGGGTACTTAATTTGTTTTATTAAACTCAAAACAGTTTACATCAATTTAAACATTTATTTGTGCATTTTTTTGTCGACTTGTCAATATAATTAATGGATTGAAATATTAACTAGCCCTAGGCTGCCTAGACCAATTAACATCAACTCATTAACACAACCTACTTAGTACCAGATAGTCTAGGCCTAGGTATTATTGACTAATATTACCTAATTATTATTAACGATCCCTAGGTCTCTGGACCCTCCACAGCCCATAAATAATATAAATAATATAGCCTAGGCCTAGTAGTAATAGGATAGGCCCGTCCTTAATTATATGTGCTAGGCTAGCCTAGCTAGCTTGAAAGCAGGGCTAATCTAGGCATACCCTAGCCTAGTACGGTCCTACTGTACTACTACAGCAACTAGGTATAGGATTCCGTAAATCTCTATCGAGGAATAGGCTCATCTATCTAATCGTGTTTAAACGCGTATTATCAACATGCCTGTCAAACGCCACATAGCGTACACGTGTGCACACACGGTATGCGAAGCTTCTAGTTAACAAAAAACTAGCTTTTACGTCAAGACGAAATTTTTAAACATCATTCTGTACATAATAATCAACTATATAAAACAAAATATATAAAACAAAATTCATATCATAAAGTAACTAGGATTTTAATATATAAATTATGACCTTTAAATAGTTGGAAAAAATAATGCTAAATTTGAGAAAAAACAAAGGTAATGTTCAATAACTCACCATCTTCTCCAAACCATGCTGTCTCGCTGCAACATCCATAATACGATTCCCAAAGGTCTCCAGAATAAATAATAATGAATATTAATGAGATTTTCCAATGTAAACGATCGTGATTCGTCGAAATTCGTAGGTCATTTAAAAACCCGCCAAACACGTAACTTCCTTGTTTTATATGTATAGCGCCCTCGTAAAATCATTATTTCGAAAAAATGCGGATCTATACTATAATACTGCCGTGATTCGGAAAAACGCATTATATCCATTTTTGAGAATTTTGAGATTTTTGGCTTAGTGGCATCCTATGGATGTAATATATCATGTGAACTGATCATATACCCTAAAAAATGTTTATAAATATGAAATTAATATGAGAATTACGCATTATATCCATCCACCAAAGCAAAAAAATCCCAAAGAGTGCATTATATCCACCAAGCATTGAAAAGCGAGCAATCAACCAATCACAGAAGACAATGTGGCATATTTAATTAGTTCCCTTGCTGGTTGAAGGGTATAATAAGGTAAAATACCAAGTTTGTTTTTTATTAAAGTACAATTAATAAAAGAAGAATGCATTGTTCTTCATCTTTTAAAGAATAAGTTGCAATATGCCCATGACCAAATTGTGGCCATAATATAAATTTTAGTCTGTAATATAAATAATTATTATTATAACTAAGACCATTCAAAAAACAAAATAAATTACATACATATCAAACTTAAATATGTTTTCTTAGACTTTCCAATTAAGCCAATGCTTGGAATTTAGATACAATACCTATGCTAAATTCACATTTAAAATATTTAGCTATATTAAAATGAGTACACTTCCTTATAATTTAAGGAAACAAAAATGTATAAATTTGCCTGAAAAGTGTGTTTAGTTAGAAGTTGTTATTTATTATTTTGTTTATTAAATTGAAAGGGGATATTCTTCATAGTGAATTTAAATAAACTGATTATTTATGATGTAAAAAACTTACTAACTGTGTTGTTGCTTGTTCTTTCTGTAGTGGTTAACGATAGTATTTAATTAAAATTTTACATGTACCATACCAAATTTTAGGGGAAATACAACATCTAATAAATCAGATCAGACACATTTTGTAAATATTTTATGAGAGTGAATGCGATAATGTTGCTAAATAATATAAACCAAAACCCTTAAAAAACATTATATTTTGTTTTGTTTTAAGTTATTTAAACATAATGGAATTTAAAACTCTATAGTCCTGGTGAAAATTCACTTTAATTTGTTCCCTAAGTAAAGAATAATGCATGCATTCTACTGGCAAAACTGGATATAATGCCTAATATCAGATTTTTCATGCTTCATTGGCTTTTGTTTTAATTTGGAAAAGTGCATTATGTCCATTTTGACTGGGTTATAGAAAAAATGTGGCGATGTCAAGCAAAAACGGTAGGAAGTCGGAAAAACCTATTTTTATATAACACCATCAACTGAATAATCACATTTAATAAATAAAACAGTGAAAAAAATGATTAAATTCTGATACTTAGTTTTAAAGTTATACCGATTTATATAGCGCGAGGTTAGCAGTTACTGTTTTGAAGAAACGGTGATAAAACTGATGTTTATGACGCCCAGTCGCTGGCAGTGCGCTCAGCGTGTAGCTCACTCACATGTGTTCGGTGTGTTCGATACTTCCTTAACAACGGAGGTGTACCATTAACCGATTGAAATGAAATTTCGCAAAAACATTTTACATAATGTATTTTATAACTATATTAGTTTCATGTACTTACATTCATTATTAATTGTTATATTACGGATTCAAATGTGATGGTCGTTTTTACTGTAAACAAACGGAAATTGAACACTGCGACATTGAAACCAGTTTGTTAAACTATTACAGAACGCATTTTATTCGTCGTCAACTTTATCAAGTCTGTGTTATATCATGGAGGTATTATTGAGAAGGAGATCACTCTGCAAAAGGTCCCTTTGACGCGACAAACCCATGTGTTCCTCGCTTTTGCATCGCGCGAGCGTATTACCCTTTAATTCACATTTTTTTCGTTAGCAACAACTTGGCAACGACATGCATTTATACGCTTCCAGCAGAGCAGTTGTGCAATAAAGCGTTTGATTTTAACCCATTAATCTTTATAATGAACAGTGTTCCCCTAATTAGATTTTTTCGGACTTTTGGTATATTATTATTTGTATATTTCAGGAACGGATTCCGTAAAATATTTATGTTAAAATTACTTCTGTGTTTATTATAATTTTGTCTAAAGATTGATTAGTTCGACTATAAAAGTAAGTTAGCTTAAAACTGAAAAATACTAAGATTTTGGATTGATTTTTCGAATAGTTAACCATCGTTAACCCTAAAATGACCTAGTTTATTAATAATCCTCAATCATTTATTAATTAATATCTGTTAAAATTAGCGAATTTTGGCCAATTTATTGAAATTGAAGTTGAAATATACTATACTTTTAAAGGTCATGTAAATGTTCCATTAAATTCGAAACTTTTTTTTGGTCTAAAATATTAATAGATTTGATATTTTATGAGAGATACATGTATCAGCTTCAAGATGGAAACAATTGCGAAGCCATAGTGATTGACTGTATGTAGTGCGCATCGAGAAAAGAAGTTGTTCTCCATTTCGCCATGTTCAATATGTTGGTAAACTATGCCTGCTGAAAATTTGATGGCGGGGAACACATGGGACTTCAAAGGCATCGCGCAAACGTTCTTCATGCGCTGCGGATCTTGGTTCATTTGCATAGCGCTGCGTGTGCGTAGCTTTTTTGAGTGATCTCCTTCTCAATAATACCTCCATGGTTATACAGTATAGCCTATTTTGCATGTACCTGTACTACCGTACTTTCTTGTGTAAAAGAAACAGTATTATTGTTTTATAATTATTACAGCAGTAAACAAGTAACTTCGAGCTTCGATGAAAACATGTAACGCGCACTACTACCTTGCCGACGCTTCCACCGTTTGTTGCTAGGCCGTTTCCGAATTGTTTACAGTACCAAAACGACTGTTTTGATTGGTTAAACAATTTGTGAGGATAAACTGACCAATCAAAATTGTAGTTGACATTCTAAGCTTTCCAACGATATCAAACTTGACACGAGTTTGACCCCGGAACACGATTGAAATAAACAGTAGTTTCGTGAGTATTTTAAACGATGATTTGCCTTCGTTTTTCATACTTCCGGGCTCGAGTGTCTAAAATCACGTTTTACAGTATTTTTGGTACTTAAATGTGAAAAATATTATTTGAATCCTATTCTAAAAAACTTAATATACATGTTTTTAATCAAACACCAAAATGAGCAAATTTGAACTTGTCTATTGTTTTGCCTTTATATCTTAAAATCGTTTAGCGACTTCCGACCGTTTTGGCTTGACATCGCCACAAATATACAGAAAAAGTACTTCAGTATGTTTTTCTGATGTGTAATTAGTACATTTACACAACAAATTCAATATAATTCATTTCCATAGCTAAAGGCTAACAAGAAACGCGTTTTGCTAAATATCTTAAAACTATGATTTTGGCTTATAATGCGTTCTTCCGAATCACGGCAGTATAGAGGGGTATGAAATAATGTCCATTATGAAACCACCGTGCCTGATCTCTGCTTCCTTGGCGGCTGCCAGATCGCGGGACGTCCGTCGCAGTTCGTCTTTCGTCTTTTCGAGAAGGACGGAAAGTTCGACACTCTCGTCCGCGCATTCTTCACGCGCTCTCGAGAGGTCCGTTTGCAATGCGGCTATCTCGTCTTTGAGAACGGTCGCCTCGCGTCTCTTGTTAGCGAGGTGCACCCCAACACATTTATCTTCCGTCGGTCAAATTCCTTCCCTTCTTTGAGGACGGAGATCTCGTCTTCGAGACCGACCGCTTCTCGAATCTTCTTCGCGATCGTAGCGTCCAACTCTTTCATCCTTTTCATGTTTCTTTCAATCTCTTCTTTGTAGGCCGTCTTTTGATCGTCCGTCTTACTTCCGTTCTGTTTCATTTTCTCTTCCATGGTGTCGATCTCGTTCCGCAAGTCGATCGCCGTGCGATCTTTGTCGGAATGCTGCTTTTCCATCCTCCTACTCTCCTTCTCGTTCTCATCCTTCAGGGCGGTTAATTTCTCGACATCCTTCCTCAGCAAAGACTCCTTTCGGGCGGCCTCGGCCAGCTTTTCCTTAAGAACGGCAACCTCCGTTCGCGAAGGTTCGCTTCGTGATTCTTCTCCGTTACATCCAACCATTCCTTCAGACTGTCGACCTCCTTCTCGCTCTCTTCCAACTTCTTCGCGACCGATCGTCGTTAACTGTCTTTGGAAGTCTCCACTTCGCGAGTCGCCAGTTGCTGATCCTCTTTTATCTTTTCGAGAATCGCCGAACGTCTTGCGTCGTCGTCGCTGTGTTCCTTGGAAGCTGTTGCCAGCTTTTCCATTTCGGCACGAAGTTCGTCTCTAAGCGAGCAGATATCCTTGTTCGCGTTGGCCGTCGAGTGATCTTTGTCATCCAACTGTTCCTTCAGAATTTCCACCTGCTTCTCGGTCTCTTCCAGCTTCGTCGCCGACCGTCGTTGGAGGTCCTTTGCAGCCACCGTTGCCAGGGTCGCCAGTCGCAATTCGTCTTTTCGAGTGTCACCGAAATCTCGCGTCGCTGCGATCCTTCATGGCTGTTGCCACCTTGTCCTTTTCCGGCAAGAAGTTCGTCTCTCAGATCGGCGATTTCCTTCTTCAGGTTGGTCGTCGCACGATCTTTGTCTGAAATCAGTCTGTCTCTGTCGCCGAGCATCCGTTTAGACGCACGAAGTTCGTCGTCGATCCATTCGATCCTCCTGGCGTTCGCTTCCACATCCTCCTTCAGGTTCCTGTTCTCTCTAAGAACCTCCGAATGACGCGTTTGGTCCTTTTTCAGGTCCTCGATCGCACTCTTCAATCGCATCATCGTCTTCCTTTCCTCCTCCAGATAGGATTGCGCTCGCTGCAACTCCTTCTCTCCGAGGTTCACTTCCATTTCGTACAACGACTCTTCGGGTTGCCGTCTTAACAGTTATCACTGCAATTCGACGTTCTTGTCGGCCATAGATTGCGCGTGCTCGTCTGCTTTTTTCGCGGCCGCCTCCACAATCCGTCTGTTTTTCACTTCCTCAACGTATCGCTTGCAAGCCGTTTTCAGGTTTTCTTCCAAGACGTCCCCCGCTTTTCGTACATGAACATCGCGGTCTTGGCGAGCGTCGACTCTTTCTTCAACGAGCTGATTTTGTCCACTTTCTCTTCCCAATCCTCTTCCAAGTCGGCGTGCGATCTCTCTCGGTCTTTCAGCTTGCGGACGGCTTCCTGCAACTTTTGCTGCAGCTAGAGTCAGCTCTCTTCAGGTGGCGGCTGCTTCGACTTTTTCCTCGCGTCTTTCAGATCTGATTCCAAGCGAACCAGTCCAGATCCCTTTCATTCAGGGCATCCGACTTGGAAGCGAGTTCGGTCTTGAGACGTTCGACCTCATCCTCCGCGATGCTGCGAACGTCTGACGATTCTCTCAACGCAGACATCTTCGCCTCGTGTACGTCGTCTTCTAATTTCTGTAAGACGACTCTGGCTTTTGTCAGTTTTTGTTCCTTTTCCTCAAGTTTCTCCTGCACCTCGTTCAGCTTCTGGTTGCCCAGTTCCAACGTACGTTCGTTCCCCTTCGCCGATTCAGATCTTCCAACGCGACGGACTTGGGAGTCGCCGGCGTCAAAGAAGACGTGGATCTCGCGTGCGTCTCCGGTTCGTCTGGGACTCGTCGACCGTCTTGAGATGGATCCCACTCCAGATCGTCGTTTTCGTTTTCCAGAAGGAATCCAGAAGTGTACTGCTTTAAGTTCGCGGCCACCCACTTCACGCTTGGCGTCAATAGCAAACTTTTCTCGTCCACGTAAGGTTTAAGATCTCCCGTCGGCGTCGCTGCCCCGTCGTCGTCGTCGGCGTCGTCTTCGTCGTCGTTGGTGGCTTCTCTTTCGATTGTTTCTTCCATGTCGCGATAGTCCTGCGAATTGAAGTCGTACGGAAGATTGGATGGAGGGCTTTCGCGATCACCCTTTCTTCTTCAAGATTCCGTCCTTTCCTCCGGTTCAGTGATCACGGGAAGGTCGCCGAGGACTTCGGAATCCAACACGGATTCCAACTCCGCCGAAGACGTCGGTGGCGTGACGAAGGTATTCTCTTCTTCGTCGTCGTACCGTTCCAAAGCATCGAAAAGATCTTCGGCGGCGCTGGCATCTTCTCGATCGTCGGACGTCGACGGACGCTCGTCTGGATGCGACCGGCTTGGAAACCTCTAAGACTCTATCATCTAATCTGTCTTCTTCAGCCACTCGACGCTCGCTCGATCTTCCTTCATTCCGATTTTTTACAAGGAGATTGTCCTGCCAAACTCGTTCGGCGTTGACAATTTCGGCTTCGATCCTTTCGTCGCTCCATTGTTCGACGATCTCATGGCTGCGTCCGAAGAGGAGAGTCCACGTCGAGGCTCGCCGAGGAAGTTCCTCGGCGGCGAGGTGGTGCACGACGCGCCGTACACGAGACAGGTCAAGACGAGATGCAACGCCGGGCTCCTACGATCGATATCGGATACGTATCATTAGCCGGTACGTGGTTCCGATCTCGACGTTCTTCATGAAAAAAGCACGAACGTACGAGCTTTTCTAAGTCTTCTTCGTCGAGACCGGTGTTATTTCTTCAGCAACAATTTTCGCGTCGAGTCGTTTTCGCGGGAACTGGTGAACAGCTTTCGACAGAACTCCTTCGCCATCAACCTCGTGTCCGGATAGTATTTGCATGTACGGCTTGGAATCGCCGATGTAAGGAGAGGACGACTCGATGCTGGGCACGGCTATCATCTTCTTGAGATCGCACGCGTACGCGATCTTGTTCTGTATCAGCTAGCCTTCCTTGGAGGTGAAGAGCTTTCTCTCTTTCTTCGAGTTCAGAAAGCTACCGTCGAGGAACAGACAGTCGCACATGGGTCTCACGCTCTCTTTCATCTCACTGTACTCGTTCGTCTCGAGAATCTTTGCCAGCAGGAAGAGCAAACTGCACAGGCATTCGAACAAACATTTGAGATCCAACGCGCCGTCCGGGTTCTCCTGGTCGGTTTCTATATCGCCGCACAGGTTCCGGAGGCGAAAGGGTCGACGAATCGACGTCCGACTCCGTTGACGCGCACCAGCTGAGGGGACAGACCCATCATCGAACCCGACGGTGCGTATCCGGATCTGTACCCTGTGGAAACCATGCGCATCAACCACGTCGGAGTGAGTTCGGTGTCAGCCAGCTGCGCGTGAACGCGCCTCTCGTAATGGTCGTCCATGTGAGATTGCTTGGCGTTCGCCTTTTCCGTCGGAGCCTTCCTCTTCTTCTCTCGGGATCTCGTCGATCGTTCGACGGCAGTCGAGGTAGAAGTGCCGGTGAGACCGGGAACTCTAGTTGCCATTACAGTTTGTTTTATATTTGTTTAACAACACCGACGATTTTGCAGCTCGCCCTTGTCATTAATGACAACCTGCGTTCGGCCGGGCAACCCAAGATGTGTTAGCGCTCGTCGGCTAGCAAACGCATCCGCAGCTGCTGCTGCATCATCTTTGCGCATGCACACGAATGACAATTTGACAAAAAGAAAGAAACAAAGACAAAAAGTTAAAGTTTTTAACGATTTAATTGTTTTATCCGAAACCTGCACACCTTCTCGCCCATCATCCATTGCAGCAGACTCGAACATTACGTCAGACTGGATGTGCTCACCTCGAATATCCGAGGCAGCAGCCAGTCTCCGGGAAGTGGTCTCAGCCGATGGAACCTAGGCAGTAGCACGAAGGATTTCTCGAAGCGAACGCCATACACGGTCCTCTTGAGCAGGTACAAAGTACTTTCGTCCGGGTTCGATAGCAAGAAATGCTTCTTCGATTAGTCTATTCGGAATAGCAGAGCAGAAGCGTCATCAGGTGGCACACGAACTGCTTGATGTCATCAAGAAACGATTCGTCGATCGCAGTACCCTCGTCCGGTAAACTTTCGGAAGAGACGTGCACAAGAAACGATTCTCTCAGACCTTGCATCAACTTGGTCTCCCTCTCCAAACTTTCTCACGACGATGTCCCTTCCTCTCTTCACGAAGAACGCGCGGTTGTACTCGCGTCGCTTTTCTCGGTTCGTGAGATTTTCAACACCCTGTCAACCGCCCCAGCTAACAATTTAACGTTAAAAAAACGTTATAAAAACGTATGAGTTTGGTTCAAAAAACGTTTTAGTAAAACGTTTCGAAAACGGAATTTTGTGGAGTTTTGGAAGCGTTTAAATAACCTTTCAATGTAACGTTTTAAAAACGTTATTATAACGTAAAAATAACCTTGGTTACATAAACTTTGTTCTTGTATCACGTTTTAAAAACGTTTTTAAAACGTTTACAAAGGGTTTTTATTACGTTTGTAAAACGTTATAATATTACGTTTTAAAAACGTAATTATGTGGAGATTTTAAAGCGTTTTAATAACGTTTCAATTTAACATTCAGAAACGTCATCATAACGTTATTTTGATGTTTTTAAACGTTTTTAAAACATTTTTAAAATGTGTTACAATACCATAGTCAATGTAACTAGAGTAATTTTTAACTCTAGTTACATGGACTTTGGTCTTGTAACACCTTTTAAGAATGATTTAAAAACGGTTAAAAACATCAAAATAACGGTAAAACTTTTGAGTTTGATCGGTATTTTAAGACGTTTTCAAAACTTGAACAAAGGCTGTACACTGAACCGTGGATATCCTTAGGTCGGCCTTTGGTCACATGTAGGATTCCAACTACATAGTGTTAACTTTGATGCTCCGGGACAAAAGAGGTCAACAATACAAAATTACTTACAATTATATAGCGTTATGTGTTTATCCTTTAATGTTTAATGCATCCTGTACTGTACTTAAGTATACTGTAAATTAGCAAAAGCCCCATTTCAATATAGAACAAAAGGATATACAATAATCAATATCCAAAAAAATAATAAATCAAAATCAAGTTAGAGTCAAGTGCTGACAATTCTATACTATTTCTGTAAGTACAGTTATTTCAGTCAGTATTTGGCAATTTCAATTGATTTTAAAAATGTCAAAGAAATATCAAAAATAAACAAGGGGCCTAGTGTACAAAACTCCATAGTGCACACTTTAAAATCTTAGATATTGAGAAAAGCAGATGGCTACACTCTCTCTGAATCTAGCCTTGACAGAGGAAATTCATAGCTGTTCTGTCACAATGGAACCATTTGCGAAGTAGAATGTTGTATCAGAACCAATAAAGAGGATGTGCCACAAATCAAACGCATTTACATAATATTGCTGTCGTCCTCATCGTTTTCATCTCTTCTGGAAACTACATCTTCTTCATTACAAACTTGCTTAAGTTTCTGTAAAAAGTGAACACAAAAATGTGTCAATTTAATCTACAGTCGGCCTTTTTTGCTTTTTATAATTAATGTAGAATGTAGGATGAGTTTTAGTATTGTTTTCTGAAGTGAAGCGATTTTTCATTACTGTTAAACTTGACTTAATAACCAAACATATTCTTTTAAGTATCTCATAGTAAAACATTTGCTATATAACAGCTATAAAACCATATTTTTATTAGTCCCAAGGTAACACCAACTCAATAGATTTAATTACAAACGTATGATCAACCTTGTTAATATATTATTTGACTGCTGAATATTAGTCCTATAAACAAATTCAACAGATTAGAATAATTACATTTATATTAAAAATAACATGTGTAGGCCTATGTTAAATATTTATGAAAAAATAATATAAGATAAGTATAAATTATCATGATAATTTAAAACTTTCTAATAACTTGTCTGAAGCCGTGATATTTGATATCCTTAAAACAATTAATTCCCATTCTAAATCAATGTATTAGTTAATATAATGAAAATAACAAATGAAATTATTTTAGGTAACTAAACTGTTTGAAGTGATCATTATGGAATGATAAACATACGCACGCAGTACATACAAGGTTAGCATATCATGCTGATAGCAGTGATAGCCCACCATTTCAATAATCAACAAACAATGACGTAATATTGTATAATAATAATAATAATAATAATAATAATAATAAGATAAAGCCTGAACTTACCGTATTTAATTATGCATACAGGGTGCCTTTACAGAAGAACAGTGGACTTGCCTAAATGCTGTTGAACTTTCTTCCCTCAGGTCATTGGTAACTAAAAGTAAACATATATTTATCAATTAATGGCATCAACCAAAAAAAATTTATTAAAGAAAAGTTAATAGACAATTAATATATAAAATCCACAAATGAGCTGCAGTAATACAGGTAACACAAAAATAGTATTCAGCACATTAAAAAATGGTGAATGACATTGTGACCTATTCCGACACTGAAAGCAGACTTAGAAATCTTAACTGTAATATTATAGCCAGCAACTTCTCATGAAAAATACAAAAACGTCATGCCTAAGAATCACTAGGCCTAAGCCTAGTAAAATTAATTAGATTAGGCCTATGTGCCAGTACCAGGGCAAATACAGGGCCGCTAGCATGAGACAGACAAGGCACATTTGCCTCATCTATCATGATATTCCTAGGTTTGTTCTTGATTTATAACTATGAAAAGGAGTTTTTGTCATTAAATACCTCGCAGTTCAATACACACTTAGGCCTAGGCCTACAGCACAGGATAACTGTAGAACTAGGCCTAGCTAGGATCCGTATTTAGATAGAACCATGTCACAAAACCAAAAAACCTGACGTCAAATAACACCAACAACAAACAAAAGCAGAAAACAGATTGTTTTCCCCCTAAGGCATGAGCATTAGACCCTCAACTCCCAGTGCGCCCTTGTGCTCCCTTTGCTAGAAAATCTGTTCCTACTTTTCTTTTTCAACCCTCTGGCTACCTACCTAGGCCTAGGGCTGGCTTGACGTGTTTTCCTAGCCCCGGCCCCAGGCCAGGCTTTGGCCCTAGGCCTACCGACGGCTCTGGCTTGATGACGTGTTTTTTATTGTGTTTTTTCTAAAAAACAATTTAACGTAATAATAAACTTACCTTCCATAGTTTCATAAAATTGTATACGATCAGATTAAAAGTTAGGGTTTCTAAAAGTATCAGCAGAAGATGAATTCAGAAAATGGACGTCACCACTGTTTCATGCAGTGCAATTTATAGAAAATAAGTAGCACGCCCTCAGTTTTCAGTTTGCGTACAAATCGTATTCCAGCTGTTATAGCGGGCGCTGTTTACAGACCCGGAAGTAAGTTGGTGCTTTGTTTTGTAAACAATACTGCCCAATCACAAGGCTTAGCTTTCGAAAAAAAAAAAAAGTTTCGATGATGTCATCATCCGGGGACTTTAAATTTCACAATAGCCTAACCATGCTTGTCTTTTCATTTTGGAAAGCGTAGAAAATAATATGAGAAGGTAGGTGGAATTTTGCAATTTTTTAAATATATTTTTTGCTGCCAATTTTATTGTAAACTTGAAAAGCATGAATTTCGAAATCGTCAACTATTTTTTGACTAAGGCATGTAGGTTTGTCTAATATAACACTTGAATAATTATATATAAAAAAATTGTGATGTCGTTTTTTTGTACCGTGTAAAAACGTGTGCAGCACCAGCAGGTTAGTATTACACGTGGGCTATGGTCTTGTGTACAACATTCACGACCATACGGTATAATGTTAGAGACTGACACTTACCCTACCTACCAATGTAGACAAACTTTGAACTAGGTAGGCATAGACCGTCACATCTATAGGATCCTATAGGATTATTTAAATAGATATCCTTTAGGAATCCTATAGGAATCATATAGGAGTCATATAGGAGTCGTATAAGTATTCTATAGGAATTTAAATATGTTTCCTATAAGATTCTTAAAGAAATCGTATAGGAAAACTGCAAGATTTTTAAATGAAACAAATAGGAATCTTATAGTTATCCTATAGAAATGCTATAGAATGCCTAAAGGAATCTTATAGATTTTCTAAAGGAACCTTATAGGAATCTTATATGAATTATATAGGTATGTTATAGGAATCCTATGGGTTTCTTATATGAAATTTATAGAAATCTTATAGATATCTTATTGGAATCTTATAGGAGCCTTATATGAATTATATAGAATAGTTATAGATATCTTATAGAAATTTTATTTGAGTCTTATATGAATTATATAGGAATCCTGTAGATATTTTATAGGAATCTTATAGATATTTTATAGGAATTTTACAGATTTCCTTCTGGGATCATATAGGCGTCCTATAAGAATCCTATAGAACTCCTTTAGTAATCCTAAAGTTATCTTAAAGAAGTCCTATAGATTTCCTAAAGGAATCTTATAGAAGTCTTATATGAATAATACAGGGTCCCTATAGATATCCTATAAGAATCCTATATGGTTTCCATAGGATTCGTATGGGTGTCTTATAAGAATTATATAGGAATCCTATAAGTATTATTTTTATCCTATTGATTTCCTAAAGGAATCGTGTATATGTCTTGCAGGAATCCTCTGTGAATGCTTTAGTTGTCTCATAAGATTCTTATAAGAAAGCTGTATATAATGATTTATAACAGATTCATATAAATTTCTTATTTTGTAAATATATACTGTTTGTTAACGTTAATGCAAGCAATGATTGCTTAGTAAGTTGTTATTGACAGGTTAGCTGGTTGTTGACATCCGTTGGTTCCGCAATATTGTTTGCATACACAAGCAGTATTGAATGACTGATGCGTTTGATTTCGAGCTGGAGTGGTTACTGGACGGAAAAATAATAATGGCTTAAACAACTCCTGCAGACATTCAAAATACACTGAGTTCAAGATATACAAACCATGATTTCTTTAATTAAAAACATCAACTATGCATAAATTGCATACACCTTCACATAATATTGTTCGTCTTAAGCCTTACTGATGCACATACCTCAAATTCCAGCAGTACCTAAATGCTTTACAGTCTTCAAATCAGTTTTTTTTTCTGTAATATATATTAAGGCGACAACTAGAGTTTATTATACAAAACCGTGTTCAAGAATCTGTCGCGTTACAGGTGTGTATAAACCAGCAATTTTCTGTATGATATTGAAGCCGGAGCTGTCTATATCCGTGCTTTTTCTTGTCAAATGGTAGCAGAGTAAATTTGAAATCTTGCTGAAAGATGCCATTGTAGATTTTGCAGAGTGACCAAACTAGGTTTGAAATATTGAATCAAGATGGCTTCGGATTTTCACCCTTGCTTCTCATGCTGAAAGATTTAACAAAACAATTCTTTAAATCAGAGCAAAGTAATACCTACAGTTGTCTTGTGCATTTTGAAACTCTTTTTTGAAAAAAAAAAATGAGTCATGAAAAATAATAATAATACATACACTAGATCAAAATAAAGAATTGAGGGGCTTGGCAAATAACCAAGAACTGACAGTTGGAATATGATTAATGCTCTAATTGTTTTAACATCTTAAATCATAATAATTAAACAGATTTTACTGTTTAAAATTTGTTTGTGTCTTTAAGGCAAGTAATTAATTAGTATTGAAAATGTATCTTAAAATTTTCTACCCACATTTTAAATTTTGTATTTTCCTTGAACATGAATGTATTAAAATAAGAGTATGATATGCGGTAGCTAAAATAAGAGACTAACACACTTCTCAATCATAAGTCGGTTAATTAGTTGTTCCATCATTTCTAATATTGTGCAATATACTTAAAATGTTAATATCCTTTATGCAGTAGGCCTTACACACACATTATTGATTAGTTGATAACCTCCATCATTAGTAATAGTGAGTTCCTATATTTAAAGTGTTAAAAACTTGAAACTTAAAAAAAAATATTCACCTTTGGAAGTCAGGTAATTTCCTGTTTCTCCGACTGCCGCATTAAGGCTTTAAACGAACATCAACGCTTTCTTACTTGATGAGTTTTCACTGAGAAAAATTCATTTACCAACAAATTCTGAAAGAAAGTCAACATATAATGATTTTTTGATATTTTGTTTTGCAAACCCACTGTTCGACGAAAATAAGGATTTAAAATAAAAATTAAATTTATTTTTGATTAGTTAGCTCACCTGCTTCCATGAATTGGAAATTGAGAAAAAAAAAATGTTTATTCTGTTCTGTAACATTAATTTACCAGGTAAATTTGTTTACATAAATTAGAAGAATTTAACAGATCAATGCAAATTGTTGTAAATACGAGGGAGTTGTTGGTAATAATGATAATAATACCAGTAGCATAGGCCTAGCCTATAGAGGCCTATGCCTACCTCTAAAAATCATTAAAATAATCATATCATGGATTTTTACAATAATAAATAAGTGAGAACACGGCCCAATTTACCACACTCCAATACTTCCATTATAGGGCAGGCCAAGCCTAGCCCTCTTTAGCATATCCTCAGTTCTGTCTTTTCTTAATAAAAGGCCTAGGCTAGATTCGGAGAATCATAGCATGCTTGTTATCCCCTAGGCCTAGGCTCCTAATCCTATGCCTAGAGATCCAATCCAAACCAATTCAATTTTTGACTTAAAAGACGCATTATACTAAGCCTAAATGCGCCAATTTAAACAACATTAAATTAATATTAATATAAAAACAATTCTTACCAATTGGTACTGCTGAAATCTTCAGAAAGTATGGTTATGCCTGCAGTTTTATCCTCATGAATGTGCACTGAGAAAGAGCTGTAATCCACTAACAAATTTCAGTTAACTGATAACATTCAAAAAAGCACCTTTGTTAATTTCCATGGCCTTCAGTGATAAACATGGATAAAGTGACCAATCACATTGGTGATTTGAGATTATCCGTGGTTGGCTGAACAGCTTAAATGACAACATCTGTTATTGTTAGCTTGTAAACTTGTGTTTTAAAGTTGTATGTTTTATTATACACGATTTAGTATAGGCCTAGACTTTGGCTATGTATTGTTAATTATACTGCCAGGATTTTCATAATATAAATATATATTTTTTTAATTATTTCAGCAGAACAGGGAAACAGGGAAATCTCCCAAAAATATGACAATTGAGAGGTTACAAAGGCTTAGAAATAATGTCAAAAGTAGGCCTACATATGTATTGTGGGGGGGGGGGTGTTTTGGGCTCTTTGATAAAAACAATATTTCCTATAGCAAAGGAAACTAGGGCTAAATTAATTTTTAAATTCTTAATTTTTGTTTTCTAAGTCTGCTTCTAATAATAATAATAATAATAATACGGAAACACGATTCCTATCATTCTAATAATAAACCGAAAGGTTCCTATAAGATTTATAAAAATACCTACAGGATTCCCATAAGATTATCATAATAAACCTATAAGGATTGTATAAGATTATCATAAACCCATAGAATTCTTTTTTTAGTCTAATAATATACCTATAAGAATCCTACAAGATTCTAATAATATACCTATAGGATTTCTATAAAATTTCAATGATATACCTATAGGATTCTTATAAGATTCTAATATTAAACCAATAGGATTCCTATAAGATTGTAATAATACATCTATAGGATTCCTATAAGACTTTAATAATAAACCGTTAGGATTCCTATAAGAGTCTAATAATATATCTATAGGATTCCTATAAGATTTTAATAATATATCTATAGGATTCCTATAAGATTTTAATAATAACCCTTTAGCATTCCTATAAAATTTTGATAATATACCTATAGGATTCCTATAAGATTTTATTAATAAACCTATAGGATTCCTATAAGATTCGAATGATATACCAATAGATTCCCTATAATATTCTAATAATATACCTATAACATTCCTTTAAGATTCTAACAATATACCTATAGGATTTCTACAAGATTTCAATAATATACCTATATGATTCTTATAAGATTCTAATAATAAACCAATAGATTCCTATAAGATTTTATTAATACATCTATAGGATTCCTATAAGATTTTAATAATAACCCTATAGCATTCCTATAAAATTTTGATAATAAACCTATAGGATTCCTATAAGATTCGA